CTACATTTTAACACTGACAATGTGACAGCTTAAAAAGAGACTGTCAGAGACTATAAGAATTAAAGTGCTACGGCTTCATATGGTATTTTATGCAAAATGTGGAAAGGTAGCAGTAGAGAATTACAGCTGTCTCATAATATAAGGAACCATTTCAGCTGTGATGATTAATTTTAAACTCAAATAGCAAACTGATCATTCATTCTTAATTCTTAATAAATAATTCATTAAATTAACACATGATTTAGATATACATGTTGGATAATATTCCAAGTTTTGAAAAGCACAATTCAGACAGTTTTATAAGGAAAAAATGTTATTATAAGATTCCCATCAATCCCATTTGGACACAGAGGGCGTTGATAGCACATACAGCTTTATGTCACACCCTGAAGCCATTAACACAATCTAATTCCAAGTCTTAAGGCGGGGCCTTCCGTTCACTCTCTTTTACCACTCTTTACCACACTGTGTTTGGCCTCACACCTGTGCCAGAAGTCTCTGTCATAAACATTGTTGTTAATACTTTGTTTTTTGTGTGTTTTAAATAGTAATATATATAAACTAAATATAAATGATTTGTTTTGGAAAATATTGTTTCTTTATTTCTGCACATCCAGTATAGAGATAAGCCTTTCCTCAAATTTACAGTTGACACTGTAAACAACAGTAAACACTGCTGTGTCAGTTCAATTCCCACTGAGACTTCTGGTAGGCTTTCATTGCACAGCTGGTTCTGAGCTGTAATGGCTTCGACCAGTAGCCCAGCTCCTTCTAACTTCTCTGTTTTTGTTTTAATCAGTTTGCTGAAACATGCATTAACTACAACAGAAATAGCCTACAGTCATCAGAAGAGGAAGCATGGGGTTTGAATTAAAGAACAGCGGACTTTGCAATGATCAGTTTGACCAGCCCACTACGTTGGGTCCTGTCCCACCCAGCAGGAGAGGAAGAGAGCCGGATAGGAGTCATGCTGGCCCAGCTTGGAATTAAGGCTGCTCCTGGATAATGTCTGGTCTGGACAAAATGGGAAATCAGAGATTGTCGTGCCCACATCTTTACAGAGACCTACTCCATCAGCATCCCGGATCCTCGTTCCATGACCGTGGTTTATTTTATTTGATGTTATTTTAATATGAATGTAAGTATCTGTTGTTCTATGTGTGTTACATAAAGGGAATGCAAAAGCTTCATTTCATTATTCATTATTATTATTATAATACATATTTATTCTTGAATGTGAGCAATCTATAAATGTGAGATTGATAGAGTCTGTCAGGCTGCCTTTTTTTATTGTGACACAGTTCATAGAAGGAACAGACAGGACATGGCTTTCAAACATTACTTAGATCTTTGATTTATTTAATTAATATGTACTTGAAGACAGAAATCAGACTATATAAAGAATTATTTAATTAATTTAATCAATACAAATTAACAATCAGTACTAATCATTACGTAGAAGCTGTATGCAGTGCACAAGACCAACTTTTAAATAAGGCACTAGATGTCTCACTCGTGATATTTAAGATTTGTAAAGGTACTGTACTTACATAAAGGTAAGTACAGCGAGAGGTACCAGGGATTGAACAACCTACCTTCCAAATAATGGACAACCCACTCTACCACTGAGCCACAGGCGCCCCTTTGTCATTCTGATATTTTGTTGATGGTGTGTGAAGTCCCTCCTTCACAACCACAGCTTCTACCTTTTACCAAGCTCAGCACAAAAGAGAGTGGTGGAATGACGATAGCACTCCCGCTAATATCCAGACACCATCAGCCATTGTGGCCATTTTCCTTACAGGTACCTCAGACCGCAAGAGGAATACATGATATAATATAGCTGCAGCAAGCCAAGACATATCAGCTACACATATAATCAAGTCATGCAAATTACTGTTCCCTCTTATAATTTTCATAATGCGGTTGTCTTTTCAGCAGAGACAAGTCTAGTACATAGCATATTTAAGTACAGGAAAGGAGGAAGTTAACTGACTGAGGCTTTCTCAACTGTTATTGGAGCACAGAGCAAAAAGGGAAGGGTAAATTACCATAAGTAACTTTTTAAGACACTATAAAGGAACTCTGTTTGAAAAAAAGAGGCCTAATAAATCTTGTCTCCTATAACTTTATCTTGGACGCCTTCTTCTCCATGGCCTTCCGCACAGCTACAAAGATGCTCTCCTGGTTATTTAACACATTATAAGTGGTCAACTCCACCAGCGCCTCAAAATCCTCTTTTGAGTAGGTCATGTTCTTGGTGGTGTATGGAGAGCTGCTGCTGCTCACGTCCACTTCACCAGCTCTCATTTCTTCCTCAGTCTCACGCTTTACACCTGTAAAATGATAATTATAGAACTGGTTAAATCACTTTTCAATCACTATACAATACATCGTCATAGAAGGGAGAGATTCACACCCTAATATATATACATAGTATAGGGATCTCGAAACAATCCCAAACACCGTTTATGACCCTGTGGAATTTCAGTGTGCTGGTTGGTGAGACCTCCTGGACCTAATCTGGCCACTAACCTCTAAAGTAGTAAAGGTGCCGATATTGGAGACTTGCCATACAAAACAAGATTTTTTTTTCTCCTGAAAAACGTCACCTGATTGGCTGCAGTCTTAAAGCTGCACTAATAGACATTTTAATAATAGCAATAGATCAAATGGCTGCATTTACACTCACACATAGCGTAAATGAGTTGGAAAGTGAGGTGAGGACTACTAAATGATGCGCATCAGAGAGGTGGGTATATCCAGTGCAGGACGTATGCCTGCAGATACCCAGCACTACACCACTGTCCATATCCACACACACCTCCATACAGAAGTGGCAGTGATTGCTCCATAATTAAAAATGTGGCAATCCTTCTCTTTGTCCTCGTTCCCCTCTTTTCAAAAATTAACTGTATTACACTGCACATCAACCTATAATGAAAACAGAAAGGCTGACTTTAGTGGCCTCCATGTTTACTTCCCTACGACAGCTGCATGTGCTGCATGTTACGTCTTTGTTATTGTTCATGTGCGCATACGGCTCAGTTTGTTTGTTCAGGTGTCATTTAAGAAAATAATGTGACAAGACAAACAAAAAAATCAGATCCGAGCAATGAATCAAAACTGAGCGCTAAGGCTTCCAATGTGAGCATAGTCTATGTGTAATGTGCAAATCCACAGAGAATTAACACCCACTTTACCGTTCCCTTTAGCCCCACAGTGCATTTTAGCATCTTTCAGCACATTGTTTTGGTTTTGTTGCCAACAACTTGACTGTTTTGGTTCAGTCTAACAACTCTCATCAACATTGTTTCCAGCCATAGCATGTAGCTGTTTTCAGTAACAAAATTCTGATAAATCCACTATACTGCTTGCTATATGCCAATAATTTCATTGCCACTGACAACAATGCTGCCCTAAACAAATGTGATTGGTACCATGACCCACAACAAATGCAGTTGGAATCTCGCCAGTGACCATTGTTGAATGTCATCACTCTTCCCTCATTTCCTATAATCTAATAATTATAAAATTAATATACATAGGTAAAGTACAACGCAGAAGTATAGTAACCCTGTCATGCCATAAGAAAAGATCCTCACTATTCCATGACTTCAAGACTAGCTAAAGGATCGAATCTTTAATCAGATTGAATTAAAAATTCAGCCACTTAAGATGGGCATACCAGGGTGTTTGAAGTGTTTGTATGTGACATTGACAAGTGGGAAATGAACCACTATCGGGGCCTTGGGATTCTCCTCATCC